AAAAAAAAAAAAAAAAAAGAAAGGAAAAATACTATTCTAGTTACTGGGGTTTCTAGTGAAAATGTATTTGGCTTGATTTTTCTCTAAGTATGATAGTCCTGTAGCCCTATAACCTCACTCCTTCATAGAATTGACATTATTTCCTAAAAAATGAATAAAGATCACTTTTTTCCTTTTAGGTAACAAGTGAGGTTATAAAAGTAATTTCTTTTTTTGTTGTTGTTTTATGAGATGGGGGTCTCATTATGTTGCCCAGGCTGGTGTTGAACTCCTAGGCTCAAGTGATCCTCACACCCTAGCCTGCCAAAGTGCTGGGATTATAGGCCTGAGCCACCATGCCTAGTCTAAAAGTAATTTATATTCATTCTAGAAACACACTAGTTGAATAAAAGGTAAATGTCATAAAAACCGTTAGTCTTATGATGGTGAATTATGTTCAACAATGTAGAAAAACACCAATCTTATATCATATATAATTTGTATGTTTTAGCTGACTTAACTATTCTTTTGCATAAAATCTTTGTTAAGCCAAAATAGGAAAAAAAATTAAGTGAACTATTTCTATTTAGAAATCTTATAGGATAAATACAATCACCTTATTTAATCTATTTATTATATCGGAACCTATGTTCAATAGGAAAAAAATGAAAAACTGCTTAGAGATAAGATGAATTTCTTTTTGAAAATTTATATATATAATAAAACTTCCTTAGTTTTCAAGAGCTGAAGCTTGTGACAGGGCTTTTCTTCTATTAGTTTGTTAGAAAAAAAATACTTCTGGAATCAGTGTAAATCATAATTTTACTTTTTGGTTTCCCATCAGAAGACTTAAGCTGCAGGTATTTCCTTTTGTTATATAGTATAAATATGTCAACTCAGTTTTGTTTTAAATTCTTTTTATATTGTTATGAAATATGACAAGAATTCATCATTATGTTTTACAGGCAGAAGCTAAACCAAGAATATTCTCAGCAGTTTCTGACTTTGTTTCAGCAGTGGGATTTAGATATGCAGAAAGCTGAGGAACAAGAAGAAAAAATACTTGTTGGTATCATGATTAGGTTTATAATTAATCCGTTATAACTAAGTCTCAAGTAGGAATGGAGAACCTAGCCTTTTCCTCTGACCAATGGAACTAAGCCAGGTTTCATTAACCATTGCTGGCCATGTGTTTTAGTCCTGCTGAACTGTAAACCACAGACATATAGGCACTTACCATACTCATAAAAGGCATTGATCTTTGCTTTTGATATTGTTTGGGATTCTTGCATTTCCAAGTGACAGAAATTTGTCAAAGTGCAAAAGAAGGATTATTGGTTTATACAAAAGAAGTCGGGGCAGTTTAGCTTCAGGCATAGCCAGACAGGAACAGGGAAGGGGGTTGCTCATGTAGTGTCATCTGGGTTCTGTCATCACTTCTCAGTAAGGTGTCTCAATGTAGTAGCAAGATAGTTTTTACAGTCCTAGGCTTATTAGAAATTTAGTAACCCCAGTGGACTGAGAAAATCTTTCTCAATAGCTCTGGCAAAAAATTCCTGTGGGAAAATATGACTGATGTAGTTTGGATCATTTGTCCATTCTTGAACCAATCATTGTATAGTTAGCCCTCTGTACATAAGGGCTCCACATCTGTATTCAACCAATCGTGGACGAAAAATATTTGGAAGAGGCTGGGCGCAGTGATTCATGCCTGTAATTCCAGGATTTTGGGAGGCCAAGGTGGGTGGATCACCTGAGTTCAGGAGTTTGACACCAGCCTGACCAATATGGTGAAAACCCATCTCTACTCAAAATACAAAAATTAGCCAGGCTGTGGTGGCGCGTGCCTATAATCCAAGTTACTCAGGAGGCTGAGGCGGGAGAATCACTTGAACCTAGGAGGCGGAGGTTGCAGTGAGCCGAGATCGTGCCACTGCATGCCAGCCTGGGTGACAGGGGGAGACCCTTTCTTAAAAAAAAAAAAAAAGAAAAAAAAAAAGAAAACAAAGGTACAAATCAAAAAAGGTACAAATTAGAAAAATAATCCAGTGTTACAACTATATAGCATTTACATTGTGTTAGGCGTTATAAGAGATCTAGAAATGATTTAAAGTTTGTGGAAGGATGTGCATTGGTTATATGCAAATATGATGCCAATTTGTATCAGGAACTTGAGCATCTGCACATTTTGGTCTCCTGAAGGGTTGGGTGTCCTGGAACTGGTCCCCCAGGATACCTAGGGATGTCTGTAGTCAGCACATTGTTGACTTTTAATGGCCAGACTTGTGTTAACCTGCAAGTGAGGATATTAGGGGTAGGGATGACAGTGTGAAATAGATAGGATGGATTTGTGGTGCTGATAGATTATTGAGCTGTAGTACTAAAGAGAGTAAGTTAGAATGGTAAAGAAGTAGTGGTTAAATACTAGGATATATAGAGAGACAGTATGTATAATGGTTAGAGCCTGGATGCCAGCAACAGTACTGTTTGGGATCAAATTCTTGTTTGAGCAATTGTAGCTGTGAAACCATGGACAGATTATGCCTCAGTTTACTCATCTATGAAAGGGGAATGAGTATCTATCTCTTAGTTTACCATTATTAATGCTGTGTAGTGGTTATTGGTAATGACAAAATCTAGGGTGGGAGTATGTAAGTCAATGGCTAAAGTAGGGTGGAGGCCAAAATCATTGAGAAACAGGTGATGGAATGGAAAACCATTATTATTGGAAGGATCATCTGTGTGGACATTGAAATCACCAAGAATTAAGACGTTTTGATTATTGTTAAAATTTCCCATTCAGCAACTGGTAGGATTAATGTATTGTTACATATTAGTGGTGAACATAAATTATCTAAACATAGTCATAATAGTTGTTAAAACTAAATTTTAAAAGCATTGATTTTTAACACATTCTTTTAATGTAGAATTATTTTTTCTAAATTTAAAATTTTACCCAAATTGTTATTAAGTTTTTTTCTATTTGTAGAATATGTTTCGACAGCAACAAAAGATTCTTCAACAATCTAGAATTGTTCAGAGCCAGAGACTGAAAACAATTAGACAGTTATATGAGCAGTTCATAAAGGTTTGTTGTATGTGGTAACAATACATTGTTATAAAACATTATTTATGGAAGTAGAAGATAATTATTTTCTTTCTAAGTTTATGGGAAAAAAACATTTTAGACTTTAACTACTTTTCCATTTTGAATTCATTGTTTCTGATTGAAGTGATAAATGTATTTTTACTTGAGGATTCAAATGGTTTTGTTGGGATTATTCAAGACAGGAAATGGTAAAATGGGAATTTTACTTAGAAATGTATTTATCATGCATAAAATCCATACTTTAATAACACTTTAGTCATAGTTCTCTGTTTAACTGAAAATAGTCTATAGTAATCATTTTTAGGTTGTATTTTACTTGTTTTTGTTTCCCCAGTGTTTGTTAAATAGAAAGTACCCAAATTATTGAAATCTCTTGTTTTCAAATGTATAATAGAAGTATTTTATGGCACATTTGCTTTTAGAATGATTACAGTGACCACAAATGAATCCAACATAAAATAATAGATATAATAGACATTTGAGGATTAAAAGTCTGTGGATTGATAATTATCTGCTGACACATACATATTAGCAAATTGTGCCTGTACCCCTCTTGTTCAGGCAGAAATATACCTTTTAGTAACTCTTCATAAAAGCTCAATGGAATCTTGCATGTACTTTTTTTCAGTGGTGGTTCCTTTAGATACTCTTGTGCAAATACATGTTAAAATAACATTAAAGGAATTGGGATGCTCTGAGTAAACTAGTAAAATTGTTTTAAAATAAATATTTCAGAATAACTTAAAAATAATATATATGGCCAAGCACAGTGGCTCACACTTTGGGAGGCCAAGGCAAGAGATCACTTGAGCCCAGGAATTCAAGACCAGCCTGAGCAACATGACAAAACCCCATCTCTATTAAGAACAAACAAACAAAAATAGCTGGGCATGGTGGCACTCACCTGTAGTCCCAGCTACTGGGGAGGCTGAGGTGGGAGGATCACTTGAGCCCTTGGAGGTTGCAGTGAACTGGAATCGTGACACTGTACTCCAGCCTGGGCAACAGAGCAAGACCCTGCCTCAAAAAAAAAAAAAAAAATTATACACACACACACACACACACACATTATTTTAAAAAGTATTTCCAAGTGGAAAACTTGTTCTAATGCTCCGAGAACCATTTGGTAATTTGTGTGAAGGTTTGATAAAGTACTAGAAGATTTCTTCCAAATGTTATCACTAAATGTTACTGTTTAGGATAGGAACTATAGTATAACCTTTGATTCTTCCATCTCCTTTCTCTGTCACATCCAGTTATTAGTAGCTCTGTAATTTTTACTTCTGCAGTGGTTCTTTCTTTTAATGCCCACTGCTACTACCCTAGTTTAGGACCTCATTATTATTTGCTTGTACCATTAAAATTCTTAACTGATTTCTCTGTTCTCCAATCTATCCTTCCTAGATCTGTCATACTATCTTTTAAAAATAAATCTCTTCCCTCTTGAAAACTGTCAGTAGCCTCCCATTCTAAATTCTTAGGTATTCAAGATTCCTCTATGACATGAACCTCTTTGTAAGCTTCATTTACTACATTTGTGCATTACCCCACCCCTCCACATAACTGCTTTCTCTCAACTCACTATGTACTTCCATGCTTCGCTTATGCCCTTCCCCTAGAATATTTTTAACTCCTTTTTCTTTATCTATTGAAATCTTAGTGTTTTGCCCACTAAATTGGAATTAATCCCCATTTTCCACTATATCGCCATAGCAAGTTGTGCTTCCATTCCTATTACAAAATTTTTGTTTTGTTTCTACATGTTTTTCTCATTGCCATCAGGAAGCAATCATGTATTATTATTTTTTAATTTCTCCACAGTGCTTAATAAAGCACCTTTTACATAGTAGGCACTAGATTAACTATTTGTTGAATGAATAATAAAGATGTAAGACATAATTTTTATTTTTCATAACATGAAAGAGGTTGTACTATAGATTATTTTATTCCCTCTAGTGAATTCATGGCACACTATTAGTCATAAGTAGATTATTACTTGATATTTGGAAAGCTTAATAGAAATGGTGTTTACTGATATGGGACTTCCAGTCTTTTTTATCTTGACCTTAACAGTTCAGGAAACCAATTTTGGGTAAAGTACACTACATTGTACTTCCTATAACATTTTATTCATGTCTGATTTTTTTTCTTTTATAGTAGGTATTTTGGTATTCATGTATTACTTAGAATATTTTTTATTTCAAATAAATAATGAGCATTTGAATATTTAAAAATTACTACTTTTGAAAATTAATTGTACAAGTTTAGAACCTGAGATGAAAAGTGGTGCTTTGTAACTTAACTAGTTTTTTGTGTTCTTAGAGTATGGAAGAGTTGGAGAAGAATCATGATAATCTACTTACTGGTGCACAAAATGAATTTAAAAAAGAAATGGCTATGTTGCAAAAAAAAATTATGATGGAAACTGTAAGTGATCATACTGAAATTGAAAAAAATAAGGATTAATATAAGCAATGAAATATTTTATTTGCTGAAATAGGTATAACACTTAACTAAAAATTAAACAAATGTTTAATATCTCCTTCCATGAAACAGCAGCAGCAAGAGATAGCAAGTGTTCGGAAGTCTCTTCAATCCATGTTATTCTGATGACTCTTTGAAGAAAGAACTTGAACCTAAGTAATATGATACAATTATAATGTTAGCTAAGAAGCATATTGTAAGTCTTTAGAATAGTTTAATTGTAACATCTTTAATCATAAACCTGTTTCATTGTAAGACCTCCCTTTCTGTTAAGTCATATCTAAATAGTTATATGAGTTAGCAACTATTCCTAAAGAATACGTATTAAGCTTTCAACTGTTTAGTAATGATAGGGAATTTTTCTAACACTGTCAATTAAATAAAGACGATTTAAGTTTAGGTTTGGCTTCATTGTATGTGTATCAATCCCAAAAGGTAGAAACTGCAAGTATAGAAGGTTATATTCTTTAAGGAAAAAACGGAATACAAAATCTATTTTACATGTACATCCTTTTCTATAATACTTAAGTTATACAACCAATTCTAATGACAATAAGATGCATTTAAATTTGTGTTCTGGAATAAATTGTTAAAATCATTAACCTCTGAGCATTAAATCACTAGCAATAGAACAATATATAAATACCAGTTTTAATACATGGGTTTGTGAATATGTCATTGCCACAAAGACATTAAAATGTCACTTAATTGGGCTTGGTCTGCAATTAAGAGCACATCATTAACACTCCTAATTACTTATGGTTTACATATATCACATCTGTGTTTGTTTATTTTTTGAGATGGAGTCTCACTCTGTCACCCTGGCTGGAGTGTGGTGGTGCAATCTCAGCTCACGGCAACCTCTGCCTCCCAGGTTCAAGCAATTCTGCCTCAGTTTCCCAAGGGACTACAGGCACTTGCCACCACGCCCAGCTTATTTTTGTATTTTTAGTAGATATGGGGTTTCGCCATGTTGGCCAGGCTGGTCTCGAACTCCTGACTTCAAATGATCTGGCCGCCTCGACCTCCCAAAGTGCTGGGATTACAGGTTTGAGCCACCATGCCTGGTCTCCTGCTTTTCCATGTTTTAACTTCTAATTTTTGCCTCTATAACTCACCCTTATCTTAGTTATAAGGTTTTCCAAGTTTTAAAAAAACAGGTGCCTACAGATAAACTTTTTCTAATTGTGACAACCTACTTGTACAGGAAGAAATTAGTCTTCCACCGTTAATGAATATTTGACATTACTTCCTAAATTTTTGAACTTTGTAAAGGATTTTCCTTTTAAGTCAATATATATATTGGAATATAAATTGTAAGTACTATTCATCCTCGTAAGAAAGTCCTTATTTGGGAAGTTTTACCAATAGTTAGAGGCAAAATAAGTACTCTAGTGTTTGCTGTGTACTTCATTCCCATATGTTTTTTTGCTTTTAAGGAATATCATCTTTTACTGTTTTCGTCAATATACCTTTTTCTTGCCTAAAACAGATGTAGTACATAAATTACTCCTTTATTTTTTGATTACTTCATCATATGGCATACGGTCTACTGAACTATTACATAAAATTAAAAATAGGGTCAGATGGGAATCTGAAGATTTGGATCCCCAGAGACCTTTGTAATAGTTCTAGTACTATTCACAATGAGTAATCCAAATACATTTAAATTAGAGGGGAAAGATAAGAATCAGTACCTAATGCACTTAGTGGTTGAAAACTTTTACTTATTTTGTCCCTTATCACCTCAAATGAGTCAGTGTATACTTGAAGTAACTTTTATATTCTAAAAGGAAGATTTTTTTTTACCATGTTTTTCTAAGTTACTAATTTTCTTACATGTCAACTGACTTTTAGCAACTGTTTCATTTTTCATGAAAGGGAATATTTAACATCCACTTTTTGGTGACAGTGAAATTTTAACTTAAAATATCAAGGAACAAGTTACCTTCAGTGTAAAGATTCGTATGTTTTTCTGAACTGGTACAACAAATTCCTTTTATTAAATACACATTTTATTTAAAAAATTTCTGTAGCCCTTTTAAATTCTAGTATACTAAAAACAAGTATTTTTTTTACGACATACTAATTAACATGCCTCTTTTGAAAAATGATTAGTATAAAACATTTCTTAGAACATCACTTGACTCAGTAATTACAATATTATAAGCCATGCACTTAAGCAGTATTGAGCTCACTTTCAGTTTTTAGCAATCAAGGTAAGCACCCTGAAGATGGCTAAAATCCTTTATGTTCTGGATATTTATGTAATCCTTTGGCAGTGAAAACCCTGTGTCTGATACGTCTCAGAGACAAACTGCTACTTAGAATTATAGGGTTCACTTTGTTGCCCTCAGGATTGACCTTTCTTTCTTTAGTCTTGTTTCTAATTAATATGTAGACTATTCTGAGAACATCTGTGATAAAAAATGATAATACACACAATGGGGATGTCATAACTGAAATAGACACAACAAAATCTACAGGGTTTATGTTTTATATTCAAATATAACCTTATTTATGGTATACTAGCCTCCTGCACAGGGGGATTTCCTTCACTCATAGATTCCCCTAACTTCATCTCTTTTCCTTGGGCTATTAGTCAGTCAATATGCTTGTGAACCTGTTCAGGTGCTTGATGACATGTAGTCTTGAATATATTTAGATGAAGGTGTCTTGAAATTTGCAGGCACAAAGCACTAAAGTATATCACCATATCAAATGAAGAAATCACCTTTAGAAGCAAAAAAGAAAATATAAAATGAATTATGATGTATCTTTTCTCAAGTAGCACTATTCTGTTTCTCCCCCAAATATCAAACCTTAACCTAAAATTCTACACCAAAAATACTTTTTTTTTTTTTTGAGATGGAGTCTCGCTCTGTCACCCAGGCTGGAGTGCAGTGGCGTGATCTCGGCTCACTGCAACCTCCACCTCCCAGGTCCAAGCAATTCTCCTGCCTCAGCCTCCCAAAGTGCTGGGATTACAGGCGTGAGCCACCACGCCCAGCAAATACTACATTTTAAAGCACTTTAATACATTTCAAATTTGGACCTCACTGTAGTCCTCTGGAAAATGCAGGTTATTTCACAGTTGTAGACACTGAGGCTCAGAGGTAAAAAAAGATGACTAAAATACAGAAGCTAGAAAGTAACAGAACCCAAGTCTCCTGATTCCACATTGTTTCAACTTCCTGCTGTGCCACGACGCAGCAAATTTCCTTCTAGAAGAGGTTATCAGTCATCTTATAATGAACTAATTCCATCAAACATTTCTATTTCTTTGAGGTTAGTTGTAAGAAGGTAAAAGGTCTAAAAAAGATACCATACTTGAGGCATATACAAAATTATGTTTACAAATTTAAAGATGGCCTCTATTTAGAAACTTTGCCCAGAGTCTACAGTCAAATGCTTCTCTTCAGAAAATGAAACCCAGGAGAAAAAGGAGCCTTATAGCTCTGCCCTTGGAGAGGGAATTCTCACCCATGAGGGGAAAATCTCTACCATTTACGTTAAAAGCGTACTTGAAAAGCACCATGTTTACCTCCACATTGTGGGTGTGGCTTTTTTTGTTTTGTTTTGGTCATCCACATAGTGTTTTAAATAAAAACTGAATTTGACTTCCTCAGTTTACCAGTCTCCATCACAAGTATAAACCAAGCCAATTACTTGTTACAAAAGATGATTGATTTTTTTAACACCTGATATTTTAATTCAACAATTCCACTTGGTAATACATACCTAAGTTCACTAAAAGAAAACTTACATTGAGTTTTCAGATATTTTGATTAATTACCCCCTATTTTTAAAACTGGATTGTTTTAGAGCCCTAAAAATATTTATAGTGGATACCAAATTAAAGGACATTATTCTGATTTTTAAACATTTTTAAAAAAATTTTGTCTGAAAACATTCATTGTCCACCTCAAAGAATTAAGTACATCTCATTGCCACCATAGGAAGAATGGAAGACTTCTGAATGGACTATGAATGAATATTATGTTATTAACTTACTCCAGAAAAGCATACTACACAACCTAGTAAAGGATCATCAGATGTATTCCTGTAATCCATGCACAGAATTGATACAGATTTTTTAAAATATCCAAATCTAACAAATAACGGTGAGATTATTTGAATTATGAAAAGATTCACTGCAGGGTTTTGGCGAGTTTTGTTTTGGTGTACTTCAGTATATTTATATATCACTATGAATTTGGTGACGACCAGTGGGGTCCAGAAATAGAAATACAACAAAACTATATCTCAATAGAAGAAAAATGCAATAATGCTCCATTTATCCAACTTTGTAATTGAATTGTTACCAATATTGATTTTCTTTTCCTTAGATGGCTAATGTGTCTCTCTCAAGCACTATATTCTGTATTTTATAATTATTTTGAATAGAAATTAATATCTGTGACATCCACATCCTTTCCTTAAGCAGGATATAATCAAAGAGAATTTAATTTAATTGATGACCGAGTCATCATTAATACAAATTGTGCACTATCCTCAAGGACCATACACATATAAAGGGTTCCTTACGTCTAGCATAAAATGGTCTGAGAATCCTGTACTTTGTAGCACTGTCTATTCTGTTTTGTTTCCTCAATATTAGCTGACAATTCTCAATACAATAAAGTGCCCACCTTTGCTAGTACTAACCCCATCTAATTTTCCTGTTACTTGCTGTAAACTGGGAATAAAGTCCTTTGGGCAGAGTAAAGTGGCTTTTGGCATCTTTGTACTGGTATTTTGGGGAAGAAAAATAATAGTTATTTTTAGGTACACAGTTGTGTTTCCAAGAATCTAGGTTGTTGGAAACTTGGCCTATAGATATGTGGCCATTTCTACACACAATATGAAATTATTCACAGCTAAGAAGTAATTTCAAATACTCAGAAACATTTATTGTATATATTGTATAGGGTAGATCTTTTTTTTTGAGACAGAGTCTCGCTCTGTCACCCAGGCTGGAGTGCAGCAGCATGATCTCGGCTCACTGCAACCTCTGCCTCGCAGGTTCAAGTGACTGGCCTGCCTCAGCCTCCTGAGTAGCTGGGATTACAGGGATGCACCACCACACCCGGATAATTTGTATTTTTTGGTACAGACAAAGAGTTTTACCATGTTGACCAGGTTGGTCTCGAACTCCTGACCTCAAATGATCCGTACACCTCAGCCTCCCAAAGTGCTGGGATTACAGGCGTGAGCCACCATGCCCGGCCTAGACTAGATCTTGAGGCTACTGATATCTCACTGAAATAGCTCTTAAGCATGGTTAAAAAATAAATAAAATGGAGAAAAATACTTACCATTGCTATCCATAGAACAACATATTCGTCTATAAAATTATTAAAGTACTGGTCTAAAAATAAAAGACCTGGCCCCAAAAAGACAGTGTCTTGAAGATACAGTTCACTTTTGGTCATGTGAGCTATCTATAAAAAAATGAAACAAAATAATTTTACTATTAAGTTTTAAATGTGTTAGCTTTTAAGACAATTAATTACAACTTTAATTCAGTATTAAAACAGACCATTTAATCTCACATTTGATATAAGAATCCTTTTCTACACCTTCTCAAATTTACAATTGGGTAGCTTATTAAAGTTTCCAATGTTAAAATTTCTTGATATCAGAAAACTGTCAATGACAACTACAGCTAAACAATTTAACTGAATATAATATAACTCCTATCACAGTTTGCTTGGAGCACAAATAGCTAATTATTATGATTTTGACACTACAAAAGAAAACCTATACATTTTATGAAATTTCCAGCTTTGTGTTAGAGAATTCAGTATATTATTTATATCATAAATCAAAAAAATTTCTTACCACTAATTTTTGTGAGACTTTAGCAAAGACACATCCAAACATTAGGGTATAAAGACAAGGATGCTTTTCAAACACATTAGTTGCTGACTTTTTATAGATCATTATTGCCAGTATAATAATTAGTCCTATGTGGAGTCCAGGTGACAAGACACTGGTGCCCTAAGAGATAAAGCAGAAAATCAGTATTGTACTTTAACACTGCATTTATTATAATGTAGACATTTTCTGACCATCTATTTTGTGCAAGACGCCTAAAGAACAGTGTGATGTAGTGTATGGCCTACAGGAGTATATAAACCTGAGTTGTGCTTTTCAAGGTTTCACAGAACCTGAGGGTGACAGAGACATAATACAGTGCTACAGATGTCTGATTCCAGTTCGATAGTTACACACATTTTAAACTGGCTAAAAATTAATGCAGTTTATTCTATATCAACTTTTACTATGTTGAAGGCCATCCACATGTGGATTGTCAAATTAACATATTTTTGCGGAGATACTGAAATAGAGCTTATTCTGCCAATTCTACAAAACATCACTGATGAAGAAGAGTAAGAATAGTTTAGTTCTATCCAGGTTTCCTTCTTTTTTCCTATTTTCTTTTCTTTTCTTTTCTTTCTAATTTTTTTGTGCTTTTAGTAGAGACAGGGTTTCCCCATGTTGCCCAGGCCAGTCTCGAACTCGGGTTCAAGCGATCCTCCCAGCTTCAGCTTCCCAAAGTGCTGGGATTATAGGTGTGAGCCACTGCACCCAGCTTATCCTGGTTTCTTTCTACACCAACATCCCCACCTCCTGTTTTTTTTTTTTGCATTCAGACTGCAAATGTTCTTTTATGTAAAATTGTAAAATCCAGACCTTACATTTTTATCTGTGTGAATTAGTATCCTCTCGGCACTACTTATCCTAAACAAAATATTGAAATAAATTTGGTATTAAGGTTATTAAATCTATAACCAATTTGAATGGGTTCACAAGAACAGCTTTACTCTTGTTTATTAAGTTTACATGTTTTAAGTTAGAACTTACTGTAAAATTACAGTAATACTATATTATAAAATTATATACATGACACTGTATAGTAATAAATTATAAAAATCTAATAGCACTTTATATTATGGTTCTTAAATCTCATTCAAGAAAAAAATCTGCTCCTAAAAAAGTTGGAAAAATACCAGTTTAAGAATTTGAAACCAAGCGCTTCCTAACTTCTGTTTAAGTCATCCTTCAAACATCTAACAGTTTTTTTAATGAAAATTTTTTTTTTTTTTTTTTTTTTTTTTGAGATGGAGTCTAGCTCTGTCACCCAGGCTGGAGAGCAGTGGCATGATCTTGTCTTACTGCAACCTCTGCCTCCCAGGTTCAATCGATTCTCCTGCCTCAGCCTCCCGAGTAGCTGGGATTATAGGCGCCCACCACTAAGCCCAGCTAATTTTTGTATTTTTAGTAGAGACGGGGTTTCACTGTGTTGGCCAGACTGGCCTAGAACTCCTGACCTCATTATCTGCCTGCCTTGGCCTCCCAGAGTGCTGGGATTATAAGCGTGAGCCATCACACTCAGCCGAAAATATTCTTTAGAGTAGACAATGATCATTACTAAATCTTGTTTTCTTCAATGGAACTTAATGTTCCAACTAATGTTCTATGTTATCATCCACAGTCAAGCAACATATATTCCTAGGCACGGTACTATACTGAGATCAACTGACAAAACACCTCAAAAAATGACAACTTTTCCAAATATATCAGAACTTATATTTCTAGATGAATTGTATACTTTGCTTTTGAATTATGTATATAGTGTATTCATAAATATTGATAATTTATCAATTATGAGGATCCCTTTGAAATTGTCTCGAAAGTCTATTTACGAGTCTTAAAAGAGACTTTTTTTTTTTCTTACTAAAAATGCTATACCTAATGCCACATCTAATATTTAATACTCTTATTAGACCTTGCTCCAAATGACTTTAAGGATAGAAATTTTGAACTATACAACAAAAGAAATTAAAGTGAATATGCTATAGTTTAAAGCAATCCTAGAAAGGCATTCTTTTTTTTTTTTTTCTTTTGAAACAGAGTCTCGCTTTGTCACCCAGGTTGGAGTGCAGTGGCACCGTCTCAGCTTACTGCAACCGCCGCCTCCTGGTTCAAGCAATTCTCCTGTCTCAGCCTCCCAAGTAGTTAGTTGGATTTACAAAAGCATGGGCCATCATGCCCAGCTAATTTTTTTGTATTTTTGGTAGAGTCAGGGTTTCACCATGTTGGCCAGGCTGGTCTCGAACTCCTGACCTCAAGTGATCCACCTGCCTCGGCCTCCCAAATTGCTAGGATTACAGGCATGAGCCACTGTGCCCAGCCCTAAAAAAGGCATTCTAACAATGTTTTGGTATAAGATGGTATCACTGGAATAAGTATTTGTCTTCTTCTGTTCAACTACCTTGAAAATGACAGTAGGCTTTTTAAAAACATAGGTGTTATATTTGTTTAAAAAGTTTGCAGGAATTCCAACTCTTGCCCACTTAAAATTACTGAAGTCTTAAAAAACAAACATGAAAAAATACAAAAGCATTATATTTAATACTTGCATGAGCAAGGTGTAAAGAACACAAGCACAAAGTATACCCACTTAAGAATTAAGGCTAAAATTTTACGTTTTGAAATATCAATTCTTTTAAATATATTTTAGCGAAATTTCAATAAAATTTACTTGATGAGTAATAAATTGCCCCATACGTGAAACCATTGACCTCTGGCCACTTTCCTGCCTTCAATCAGGAACTCACATTCCCTACCCTTCCTCCTTTCCCCTACCTCCTCAGTTCAAGGCAAAAAATGCAGGAATACAAATGGCAATGCTTAATTATGTGCAGCAATGAAACTAGATGTCAGAAAAGTCTATGCAGAGCAAGCCTGTAGAAAGAGGAAAGTATCAGTTTAAACTGTTTTTAAAATGCTTTTGTACTATGTGCCTAAAATGAATTCTTTAAGATACTTAGTTTCCTTCCTCATTCTTGAACTTTGGCATATTTTAATCTTTTTATAGCTGGTGATAGGAAAATTTATCATAAAATTGATACTGAATGATGAAATTAATGCCTTACTGCTATAGTGGATCCATTCTTGCCAACACCACCATGGAGGATAACATGGAAATAATTTGAACAGGAAAATATTACTCCACCTAGAAATCCAAGAACTGGAAGGATCTTCAATTTTATTTCTAGAATGGGAATCTTTAGGGGTAGAAGAAAGAAACAATTAAGACAACAGAATGTTGGTTTTTTATTAAATAATAAACAATGATAAGCCCTATACAATAAGCTGTCCTTTTTCTTGTGATCAAACCTTAACTTCTGGAATATAGTCCAAAGTAATAACTTAAAAACTTTTTTTATTTAACTTTTTTTTAGTTTTTAAAGTTTTATTTTTTTTAGAGTAGTCAAGTGCAGTAGTGAGGAGGGAAAAGAGAAAAACAAGGAATTTGACCTGTAACTGACTGTGAGCAATCAACTGAGATAACTACCATTGGACCAGCCTAAAGTGACTGTTTTTTGAAAATGCTTTCTTCATAAGTGAAAAATGAATCCACCAAACCAGCTTAGTCTGTTTACATAACTATGATTAAATGTTTAATGTCATAAGCTTTCATCTGACTTAAACATGAAAAATGATAGTTCACTTGAATTTAGTAGCTTCTAAAAAGTAGCATCACAGGAAAGGGAGGCACCATGATTTGCATCATAAATGTAACAAATATCATGATGTGTATGCAAGCAAAAAATCTGTGTAGTTAATATCCAGGATTAAATCTCTAGCAATATATTTACCTGTTGGTCAACTGCTGTTCAAGAAAACTTCCAAAGGCAGCAAAGGATTTAAAAAACAGTAACAATGAATTGCCAGAAGCTATAGGCTACTATGTTTAGAAAATAGACTGAAATAATGTACCAAAATTTGTGGAAACTACAGGTTAATAATTAAATTTAGAAAACCTGAATCAAAAGTAAGTATTCTTGTTGGTAAGAATAAGCCAGTATGTTTTCTTCCTATGATATCGCCAAAACATTGAGTGAAACAATTTTAAGATTCAATTCCAAATTTAAGACAACCACACCTGACTTAATAACTAGAGTTGTCTAACTGCTTCTAGGTCTACATTTACCTTCTTTTTTATTTTTTACTTTTTTGAGACGGAGTCTCTGTCGCTCAGGGCTGGAGTACAATGGCGTGATCTTGGCTCACTGCAACCTCTGCCTCCCAGGTTCAAGTGATTCTCCTGCCTCAGCCTCCCGAGTAGCTGGGATTACAGGTGCCCACCACACCTGGCTAATTTTTATATTTTTAGCAGAGACAGGGTTTTGCCATGTTGGCCAGGCTGGTCTTTAACTCCTGACCTCAGGTGATCCGCCCGTACATTTACCTTCTTACAGGCACAACCTGAACAGTTACTATAAAAAACACATAGCATCCCTTTGTTATCTTGTATGGGCCTATAGTAGTGTATCCTTGATTCTATTTACTCTTACATGATGAGAGGGAATATGAATGTACTGGGGAATGTACCACTACTATTTAAAAACATGCCCAAAGTCTATTTTGGAGCCTACTGACAAATGATAATTGGCAATTCTGACACTAAATGCCACAGGGAATTTTTTTTTGTTTTTTGTTTTTTTTGTTTGTTTGTTTTTTAAGAGGTAGGGTCTTGCTCTGTCACTCAGGCAGGAGTGTAGTCAGTGGCATGATCACGGCTCACTGCAGCCTTGAACTCCTGGGTTCAATCGACCCTCCCGCCTCAGCCTCCTGAGTAGTTGGGACTACAGATGCATGCCACCATGCCTGGCTAAAATTTTAAAGAATTTTTGTAGAGGCAAGGTCTTGCTAAGTTGCCCAGGCTGGTCTTGAACTCCTGGCCTCATACTGTGTTTTTAATGGACTTAATTTTTTTAGAGCGGTTTTAGGTTTGCAACAAAATTTGAGTGGAAAAGTATATAGCCACTCCTCCTTCTGCCAACAACATCCTACACCAGAGTGGTACATTTGTTACAATTGGTGAACCTACACTGACACATCATTATCACCCAAAGTTCATAGTTTACATGAGAGTTCAATCTTGGCGTTGTACATTCTATGTGCTATGACAAATGTATAATGACATGTAGCCACCATTTAGTATCATACAAAATAGTTTTATTGCCCTAAAAATTCTCTGTGCTTCACGTATTCATCCCTTCCTCCTCCAACCCATGGTAACTTCTGATCCTTTTACGGTCTCCATAATTTTGCCTTTTTAAAGAATGTCATATAGTTGGAATCACACAATATGCAGCCTTTTCAGATTGGCTTCTTTCTCTTAGTAATAAACATTTAAGGTTCCTCCATAACTTCTTGGAACTCCATAAGTTCCTCGCATAACTTCTTTTCATGGCTTGATAGCTCAGTTCTTTTTGGCATTAGTTTATCCAACTAAGATGAAGGACATCTTAGTTGCTTTCAAATTTTGGCAATTATGAATAAAGCTGCTATAAACATTTGTGTACACGTTTTTGTGTGGACATAAGTTTTCAAATCATTTAGGTAAATAACAAGGAGTGCAACTGCTGACCATGTGGTAAAACTATGTTCAGTCTTGTATCACTTACTATTTTTACTAGATATATAGCTTAGTGATTACATACAGTCTGGAATCAGTTTTGTTTAATTCCAAGCTCCAGTACTTCTCATGTGTCCTTGGACAAATTACTTAATCACCCTAAGACTTATTTATAAAGCATAATAATAATCATACCTATTTCCATAGGATTATTCGGAGGGGCAGATAAAACTGATGGTAAATGTTTAGGAACATAAGTATTGAATGACTGTTAGTTGTTGACTATTGATATCCTTATTATTATTCTTAACACTATGAGCAGAAAGTGTGAGCCAGTTAGACAGTACGGTGGACTTAGGTTGTGGTGACAGGACAATTGTTTCTTCAGAAATGTTCTTCTTTTGCAAAAAAGCTTCAATTTATGACAGTGGCCTCCTAAGAGCCAACTTTTATGAAAATACTGAGGTCACCAAGCAGGCAGAAAATAAAAATATTCCTTAATATGGGAATCTTCACCTCAAAGTAGATTATAAAAATGCAAATTAACTACTTTCCTAATATTGAGTGACAAGTTTTAAATGTAAAATATTTTACTGGACTTATTTTTAAAATATTTATTTTATTTCACCCTGGAAAAAGTTATTCCAATGTGTGTTTTTTGTTGTTGTTTTTGTTTTATTTAGTATTAGGGAAATGAGGTTGTTTTCTTCCATGTGGCAATATATTCATGCATAGGAGGAAATGCCATAAGGTATATAAGATAATACACATTATAAAATGAAGAAAAAAATGTTAAGAAATGGAACAAATATTAAATACAAAAAAGAAAAAAAGAAAAAAAATAAATACAATGCCAAGGATTTTTGAAGAAAATTAACAATACAATACTTTTTCCTAAATATTTGAAAAGTACTTAAACATAAATTTAAATATTCAGATTTACCGTATAGTCCCACATTGTTGCTCCTCCAAATGCAGACAATACAAAGACAATCACTAAAGCTATCTGAATTTCAGTTACATCCACTCTAAAGAGGAAGGACAAAAATAGATAAGGTGTTTGTAAATAAAATTCCTGAATATGGAGATTAATCACGTATTAAATAGCAAAGATGTAAAAATCTCTGTAGGCTTAGTTTATTTTTACCTTTACTTCCATTATTGAATTATCAGCTGACTACACTGTTAAGTTAAAAAGGTTACAGAACAACATGTGCTCACACAGAGTTAACAGTATAAGGAGAGGGAAGATATATATGTACCATATATCAAATTGCTAATAGTTATCACTGAAGTTATGAAGACTTTTATTTTCTAATTTAGGTACTCCTGTAAAGTCTGAAGTTTTTTTTACAACAATTACCCACTACTTGTGTACATAGGAAAAATTATAATAAAAACAACCATGGTAATGGTGGTAAATACAATTTAAGGCAAATTTAAACACTCCCAGGTCAGTTTCACTTAAAAAGTAGGGAAAATCCCAGTAGTCTTCTTTATTGAGGTACTAATCGTCACTGTAGTTTTTTTAGTTTCCATAGGCATTTTTCCCCTAATAAATATGCTTAAATTTTTCAAAAAACCACTAACCAACCAGCATCAGTCCCTCTAGTCTGTATTCCCCTGAAGCTGTCATTCTCTCTCCTATGCTCCACGAATAGGCTCACTGAAAATTAGTCAACATTTGTAATTTTCTCCTCTCTTCATGTTTGTTGCCTAACCCACCGTAGCCTGGCTTTTGGCCCCATTATTCTACTAAAATTGTTTAAGGTAAATTGACCTTTAATTTTCAATTTCAATTAAAGGATACAAATCTAAGGGATATACTTCATTAATTATCTTGCATAACTTCTTTACAATATTTAAGATGCTGATCATATCCTCTTTCTTGAAAACTTCTGCTGTGTTTTTATCTATTCCATGTTCTCTCCTGATTTTCCTACCTTGCTGGAGCTCTTCTCATGCTCCTTCTAGACTGCCTCTTCATCCATATCTTAAATGATGCTTTCAGAATTCCATCTGAAATTTTATAGCCTGTGAACAATTTTATCTATACTTAAAACTACTATCTATATGCTAATGACTTCTAAATCCTTATCTCCAATCTACATTTTTTCCTGAGCTCTAGATTTTGATATCTGTCTACATATTTTACATCTCTGCCTGGATGCCCCAATGTCTTTAGATGGAGGTAATACCCACCTTACGGGATAGATATAAGGAATAAATAAGATAATGCCTGTGGAGCACTTAGTACAATGCTTGAAACATGTAAGTGCTTGATAGGTGGTAAATACAATTATTCCATAATTTAGAATCAACTGCCTGAAGCCTGTCCTCTGCTAAATGACCCATAGTTTTGAGCTTCTCCTGTCATTTATCATTAGAGATTTTTTTCAGAGCTACTGTTTCTCCTTTTCAGCAATAAAGTGGGGCTAAAAAGAATCAGTAGACATGGGAAGCCAAAGCCAAAAATGAGCAAATGACAAAGTTCTTAAAAGGATCAGACTGAGAGGGAGCTATATGAGAAAGAGGAACAGAGAATAACATTCCTGCTTTGTGCACTATTTCCTGGTCTCTAAGAAAGAGGCACCAGAGGCAGATAATACTATCTAATGTTTAGCACTAGCATTTACAAGGTGCTTTTACATTGTCTCACCAATTGCCTACCACAGTTCAGAGTCTCACGATGACTGTTGTCAAGGGGGGGTCCCCTTTTTGTGCACATGAAGATTCGACCAAAAAAGGACCTTAGACTCCATACTGCATTATTTTATTATATGAATCAAATGCTTATTTAAGTACTGCATATCCCTTTTCTATATCATCCGGGTCCCTTAATTTTCTTTTAATCCTCTCTGTTGTAAACTTGGGCTAGTGATTAAGTTGGAGAAGGGGAGAAGAAAAATACAATTATTATCAAATAACGTAACTATTTATAACATACAGAATACCTAAAAGACTAAAGGTGTAGCATTTATGATTACTCCAACGAATTAATTTAAATTACTGATTGAAGCTTTGTTCTCCTTATTATCAATGAATGACATAACAGATTGTGCAAATAAATTCAATTATATTTTTAAATGTACAACTTAAAAAACATACTTACTTTCCAAATCTCAACACGCCTGAAACATAGGTCTGCCAATGAGCGCAATAAAACACAAACATCCCAATAAAAGAGCAGACAAACAACCAGTCAGGATGAGTTCCTAAGCGAGCAGCAATTGAAGCTCCCACTGCCATAAATACTGAAAGAAACAAAGTTTAAGAATCATTAAGAATTAAAAATAATTTATGAAATAATTGCCCTATGCTGTTTAGAAATACAGAGTTCTAAGGAAATAATCATGGCATTAAAATAAAGTACACTTATTAAAATGAATTCTTGACATACTTTATAAACAACTCCATAAATTTGCTCCCAAATGTATATCCATCCAAAAAACTGACCATTCAAACAACTCAGTTCATTTTATTTTTAAGGTATCATAAGAAAAAAAAAAACTTCACTAATTTACCTGTGGAAAGAGAGTCACAACCATGGTCAAAGAGCTCCCCTAAAGGAGAACAAGAGTTTGTTCTTCTGGCTTGTTTCCCATCAATGGCATCCAGTGACTGGTAGATAAAAAGTCCCAGTGCACATAAAAGGTATGTCCAGTATGGTGCCTATAAAAAAATGTAAATAAAATAAAGATTGTTAAGTGATAATAAGCTTTTTTAAAACAGCTCAACCTAAGGCTTCACACTTTGTAGCACCCCAGTGTGTCATAAAGAACGTTCCTAACCCTCATTCTACTGATGAGAATTAAATTGAGAAATCAAAATCAAATTAACTGCTTTAAGTCATCTAGGTAGAGGGTCGCAGAACTCCATAATGTGAGAAACAGAAAGTTAAGCAACTGAGCAAGGGTTAGGACCCTGATCTTGATTCCTACATCCATGGCTCTTTTAATATAATACTATGCATTATGCCACAGATTTGAAATTACTCAGTTAAATTTTTGCTGTGAAAAAATACCTTAGGGGCCAACTGCCGATCTCTGCTTCCATTCACAATGGAATATCAGGGACTAGATTTACTCTCCCACCCTATATAACTAGAAAGGCAATTTTATATATATATATATATATATATATATATATATATAAACAAAACTACAATTTTCAAACACTACAAGCAGTGCAGGCTTGTGATCCCTGACAGAAGGGAAACAAATGAGATACGCCCTGCGATTGCTCCAGCTAACTTCCCAGGGTCAGTTTCCAGGCCACAGTGCAGGTCCCATGATCAGAACAAGCCCAGCATGCTTGCTGTGTTGAAGAGAAACACAAAGTTCAGGAAGGTCAAGGCAGTTAGGATTTGTGAGGCAGAGTGCCTGAGAGGATGGAGCTGCAAAGAGAGGAGCACAAGTTGTGGAGGTCTTACAGAAGGGTATCTTTCAGTCTTCGGCTGAGAACTCACCTGTGCCTGAATGAGATGAAACTAACAAAGGCCAGGGAGGGAAGCACTGCAATGTAGAAGGTCAGACAATTCTCGAAGCTCATACAAGGCTGGGACATTCATGTTCCCGCCAGGCAAAGCAAAAAGCCTCATTAACACTTGGGGCATTGGGTAAAGTTCTCAGAAGTGTACTGCCTTACCAGCAGGCATAAATTAACCATAGACTGAAGGCTTCTCTGGACAGCCCTAACGAAACTTAAAATCCAGCCTCAAAAGGATCCAAGTAATTCCTGGCAACTTAACTACAGTCAACACAAAGTACATCTTAGAGGAAAAAATCTAGTATCCCAAATGTAAAATTCACAATGTTTGGCATTCAGTAAAAAATTACCAGTCATGCAAAGAAGCAGGAGAATATAATTGACAACTAGGAGTAAAATCTGTATAATCAGAATACAATCAGAATAAATACGAACAGAAGTTAATAGAATTAGCCTATGAGGACATTAAAATAGTTATTATAAATATGTTCCACATGTTCAAGAAAGTAGAGGAAAACACGAAAATTATAAACAGAAATGGAAGAAAAGACTCAAGTGAAACCTCTAGAAATGAAAAATACGATATTTGAATTGTAAAATAAACAGCGTGAGATTAACAGCATATTAGACACCACAGAAGAAAAGATCAATGAGCGTGTACCAATGGACTACCAATGAAAACTACTCAAAATGACGAAAGAAGAAGGACGAAAAAAAATTGAACTGTGCATCAGCGAGTGCTGGGACAACAGAAAGCAGTCTAGCACATACGTAACTGGAGTCTTAGAGAAAAGAGCAGATGGGGCATGAAAAATAAACGAAGAAATAAAGGATGAAAAATGTCCAAAGTTGATGAAATCTATAAACCCACATGTCCAAGAAGCTCAACAAACCCCAAACAGAATAAATATTTTTTAAAAACCCATCAAGGCACATCATAATCAAATCAATGAAAACTAGTAATAAGGAGAAAATCACAGGCCAGGTGTGGTGGCTCACACCTATAATCCTAGCACTTTGGGAGGCCAAGGTGGGTGTATTGCTTAAACCCAGGAGTTCAAGACCAGCCTGGGCAACACGGCGAACCCCTTCTCTAGAAAAGATATAAAAATTAGCCTGGTGCGGTGGCGTACACTTGTAGTCCCAGCTACTCAGGAGGCTGAGGTGGGAGGATCACCCAAGCCTGGGGAAGTCGAAGCTGCAGTGAGCAGTGATAGTGCCACTGCACTCCAGCCTGGGTGACAGAACAAGACCCTGTCTCACAAAATAAATAAAATATCATATTCAGTTCCAATGAGCATGTTCTTAAAAGTTTATGTTGGAAACTATGAAACAATTTAAGAAAGGGCAAACAGAAAACTGAGCAGTCATCATGATAGTACAAAAATGAAAAACAACACATCCCACCTAGAATCTTTCGAAAGAATCCCAAGGTGTCTTGCAGAGAACAATTCTGTTAACCTAGTAAATTCTTTTCGACTAGTCCATTCTTTTTTAAAGATATATTTTATTATGTATACAACATGATGTTATGGGATATATAGATAGATGGAAACGGTACTAAACTGAAGCAAATTAACATATTCATCATCTCACATAGTTACCCATGTTTTTGTTTTGTGGCAAGAGCAGCTAAAATCTATTCATTTTACAGTTCAATTTTTTTTTAAACCTATACCCCTCAGGTTGTACATCAGATCTCTAGACCTGCTCATCTTCCAAAGCTGTAATGTTGTTTCCTTTGACCTGCTTCTTCCCATTTCCTCCCCTTTATGCCTCTCTGCTCGTGATAACCAGTTTCTTTCTCTATCTTTGCATTTTTTTTTTTTCAGATTCTGTATATAAGTGAGATTAAGATCACACAGTATTTCTCTTTCTGTGTCTGGCTTATTTCACTTAGCATAATGTCTCCCAGGCTCATCCATGTTGTGGTAAATGGCAAGATTTTGTTCTTTAGGGCTCAATAATATTCCATTGTGTATACTACAGTTTCTTTATCCATTCATAGGTTAACAGACACTTAGGCTGTTTCTGTATTTTGGCTATTGTGAATAATGCTACAACAATCATGGGAGTCCAAATATCTTTTTAAGGTGGTGATTTCATTTCCTTTGGGTATGGTTTTATAGTTTGTGTTCTTATATTTAGGTATTTTATCATTTTGTGTTTATTTTTGTACACAGTGTAACACAAGGTCCAATTTCATTCTTTTGGCCTATGGAAATCATTTTCCCAGCATCATTTATTGAACAGACTATCCTTTCCCCATTGTGTCCTCTTGGTGCCCTTGTCAAAAATTAGTTGACCATATCAAACTAGCAAATTCTTACCCATTTTTTCTACTATGAGAAATTGTTTCTAATTTTGATGATTAAAGGAAAGCAAAGTTACACGTCAAACATATGTAAAATTGGAAGTTGAAGTTATCAAAATTTCTGTAATGACAAAATGTCAGAGGGATCTTCCATTTCTCTATGTAACTCTTTATACTGAAAATCTGGAGCTTCTCAAGGAGAACTCTAAAAGTCAACATTTAAAGCTTAATTCTGACCTCTGATCTGAGAAACTAGCTGCAGGCAGGTCTAATGGTCAGGTATTAACAGAAATTCATACTGAAATAAATTTGATTAACCCTTACACCACATGGTGGTGACTCTGCCCCAAATTACATCCCGCTCTTCATTTAGAAAAGGGAAATAAAGACTGTTCAACCGTTTAAAAGTACTTCATTAGGATACTAGAGGCGTTTAAATAGGGAGAGACTGGGAATTTAAACAGGGAAGAGAGGAAGTCTAGGCAGAAACCAAAGTTTCCGGCTGAAAGTAAAAGGTTTACTGGAGTCAGTGACTAGATCCATGTTCCTGGAACAGGTAATTTACAAGAGATAATATTGCAAAGGTAATGTGATCTTAAACAGTATAACAAAGGGCACTTCTTTTCTTTCCTTTTTTTTTGTTCTTGAGACAGGGTCTCCCTCTGTTGCCCAGGCTGGAGTACAGTGGAGGATCGTGGCTCACTGCAACCTCCGCCTCCCAGGCCCAAGTGAACCTCCCCCTCAGTCTCCCGAATAGCTGGGATTACAGGCACACACCACTACACCCAGCTAAATTTTTGTATTTTTGGTAGAAATGGGGTTTCGCCATGTTGCCCAGCCTGGTCTCCAACTCCTGACCTCAGGTGATCCACCTGCCTCCGCCTCCCAAAGTGCTGGGATTACAGGCGTGAGCCATCGTGCCCAGCTAACAAAGGGCACTTCTAATGTATTATTTCAATTAATACAGAAATCCACAGAGATAGGGCAGTTATTATCATATTCTTTTTATTAAAGATGAAAGTGAAACATATGGAGGAGTGATAATTTACATCAAGGTAAGCACTTAGGCTGGGTCCAGGAACTAGATCGAGTCTTCCGACTTGCCCTTTGATGAGGTTTATCCTACCACAAGCCACACAGACTGAATAGAACTCTTTGCCTGAAATCTTCACAAACTCCCTATTCCATCAAACCTGCTGATAAGCACTTTCCCCCTCACACAATACAGTTTCAAGTGGCAGAGAGCCACAGGAAATGGTGCCAGCCACAAGAGTCTTTCTTTAAAACCCAGAAAAGCACAATGATCTGCCAATATTTGATTCACTCCTTTTCCAATTCTTCCCAAATCTTTCCAAGTTTTCCCAGTCTTCCCAAGGCCTCAGAAGCCAGACCTATCTTCTCTTTTCCACTGGTCACCACCTCCATTCCTAGGTGAAAGCTATTAAATAGTTTGCATACTCTCACTTTTTTTCTAACTTCCTAGCCAGGAAGTTATACACTCCCACTATAGTCTCAAAGACACAAAGCTTATACTGGAAAAAAGCAAACCAAGTCTGATAGTCCATCAATTTATTCAATTTCACACACGATTTACTTTTCCAGAAAACATCCAGAGGTGAACTGCACCTCTGACAAAATCCTGTATGCTCTCTGTATTCTCTGGGAAAAGGCCCATAAGTATAAGAATCTTAACATTTCCATATTAAGAGACAGAAGTACACAGTGACTGAAGGAGAAAGATTGAGGTGAGAGAGGAGGCATCTACTTCTCTTCTTCCTTGCCCACAACCCTGTGACTCACTGAGAAACAGCACTAGTACTTTCATCTCTGTCTCCCTAATCAACGCCACGTGCCCCCCACATACCCAATC